ATCTCATCGAATTATCCTCCAAAGGCTCAGTCACCTAATACCATCTCACTGGGAGGTAGGATTTCACCATGTGAATGGGGGGGGCATAATTCAGACAATAACATAGTCTAAGTGATACTTTTATGTAGATCTTCCCTTCCTTCATTGAACAAATGACCACAAGGCAGAGAGGAAGAAACACAGACCCTATCCCAGCTCTCACAGAGCTCAGGCTGAAGGGGGAACCACAGAAATATTTAAGCAGAGCTGGTTATGTGAGCTATGAAGGCAAGCACATATCTGGGACAGTAATCTTCCCCAAGGAAGTAACATTAGAGCGGTGAGCGGGTGTTGGCCTGGTGGAGGATGGGGAGGGAAACGGCGTGGCCCAGAGAGAGCAGCAAGGGCAGCAGCCTCTCAGTGGGATAAGGAACTGAAACCTTGCCTGGGACACCTGAGCGCCATTCCTTTGTCTCCCACTTAGATATATAAACAGAAACCGTCTAGAACTTTCCCTGGGGATGCTTTTGACCCAGAAAGGAGGCTCGCTGCTGGGTTTCACTGCCAGACAGCAGAGTAGCATGCGTTGCTGTTTGTGATCGCAGTGGCCAGTGTGTGGCAAGGAGAGCTGCATCTCTGCCTTACTCCTCTAGCTACGCTAATGCCTTCCCAGGGACTGTGTCATAAGAGTTCATAAAAACTCTTCTCCAAAGTGAAAAATAATACATCCTCAAGATGGGGCATCTCATCAGAAACCCAGGAATAAATGCAGTGAAATAAAATGGAAATCTATAACTGAGTTTTGCTTCAGGCTAAATGACTTGGTTTTGGCAGATAGTTGTTACGTAAAGGAAACTTTTTGCCCTTCAATTTTGCTTTAAGTCAAAACTTTGGTCTTTAGTTTTAGAACATAAGCTGTCTTTTCTAAAGACACATACTTACAATTTGCAGTATTTTATCCTGCAAACTCTCTGGAATATGGTTAGCAACTGAAATAACTTGCTCCTGAAAGTCTAATGATCCCCTATTTAACGACACAAATTTATATGTTACTATTCCTTCTACAACATTCTCCTCCTCCTCCTCCTCCTCTTTCTTCTCCCCCTCCTTCTCCTCTCTCTCTCTCTCTCTCTCTCTCTCTCTCTCTCTCTCTCTCTCTCTCTCTCGCCTTGTGCATGACTGACTGGTCCTCAACAAAGGAATGATGCCCACAGACATGACATTATTTGGTGTCTCTCTGTCAAATTCTAGTAGGCTGGGTCTGGGATTGAAGCCACCCAGTGGCTTCTCCATGAGCCCTGGAGAACCTCTGGTTCTTCTTATCTCCAAATCCTTCGCTCCTGGCTCATGATGCATGCTCAATAAATTTTTCTCTTAGTGATTAACATCAAGGCCCTATTTATGCTGCTGTCTGGAAAAGAGGACAATATATCCGGCTGTAATTTTTCCAGAAGCACAGGGAGTGGTACTGGTCTTAGAACTAAGGCAGCCCTCAGCAGAGTTTCTTAGTTGGTACCACAGTTCTCACAGGTTCTCACCGCACTCCACAGGTCACTCGCTGCTGTTCTCTCTGGTCCTTGGTCAACGTAGGCTGTTATCTTTGGCTCCTGTGTGTCAGGCACCCAGGAAACATTTTGCTCCTGATTGTTTCCATTAATAAGAGGATTTGTGGGCTGGGGATTTAGCTCAATGGTGCCACCTGCCTTGCAAGCGCAAAGTCCGGAGTTCAATCCCCAGTACCAAATAATAATAATAATAATAATAATAATGAGGGTTCTTATTTCCTTCCATCAAGGCCTTGCTGTGAGTTTCCCAAGATGGTAGCAAGCTAAGCAGAAGCCATGAATCATAGCTGCCCCAACTCTCCCTCCAGATTCACCAGCCCAGACTGGTCTCTTCCCCAACACAACATCTAGGTGAGGAAGTAAAGTTTTCCTTGTGCAGGGTCCTGGCCTGGAGCCTCCCCTCGCTCTAGTTCACCTTTGTATGACTGCTATATGACAGCAGTACGACTTTGCTGGATCCCTTGGCAGTGTGCACACCCTTCCTCCTCGGCATCCTTCCTGCTTTATATTGTTCTTATTATTTTATATAATTATCTTCTATGTTATACTGGGAGCTGTGCCTGTTTCATCATTGTTTCCTTGATGTTTCCAAGCATAGTACCCAGCCTGAACCATACTTAATTTTTAATAAGCATGCAGGGAAGAAAGGGAGTGAAAAATGAGGATGGGGACAAGAGAAGGAAAGGAAGAAAACGTGGGCAGTCTCTCATTCCTGTTTGTTTTAAATTTTGGCTGAGCCGTACATACATCTGTATGCATCGGAAGGACTGAGATTCTAGGAGATAATTAGGGGGTAGGGAGTTTTGGCCCCGTATGGTTGAAATTTAGGATTATCAAGGCTTGAAGTCTTCCCTCCATGGATCGGGGAGACCAGCTCTCCTGGCTGTATGGAATACAGAGAGTAGTGAGAACTTAGTGACACTAGAATTACTCAATCTGTTCCTGACTGGAAAGGAATTGGTGTGAATCTTCTTCAAGCAATTTCTAGTGCAAGGTAGTCTAGCCAAAGTCTAGGGAACACAGCATTTCATGAGCCTTACAGGATGGGTGAGGGCAAAAGGACCAATTACTCTGCTCATCACAGCAGCCCAGGCCCTCAACCAACAGCCCCGGCAGAGCCAGGAGCATGCTGGGAGGATTCCCTTCCACACAATGATGACATTCAACAAAGCCACAGTTTCCTAGACCCAGGAGGAAACCCTTGTGGTTTGGTGCTGGGGGTGCGGCTAAGCAAGCGCAGATTTTTTCCTGGTTGCCTGATAGCTTTAAATGGCAACCTCTCTTTTAATTTTCCATTATGCATCAAACACATCTGTGCCAGAACTGGACAAATGTATTCCGTCTGGAAGGAAGATCCCAGACGGCTATAAATTAGAGTTTGTGTACAGAGATTCCAAAAATGTGGCCCCATGGTAGGGTGTCCTTGGGACTAGTCACCTCCTCCACAGTCTGCGTGGTGGCTGCTGGCTTTGGCCCAGTGCCTTTGTCAATAGATTTTGCTTTGTATTTGGAAACTCCGCATTTCCATCAAGTCACCACAGGGATGAGGACTGCAGAGCTGCCTATGCTCAAGTCTGCTGGGCAGACTTGTCCCAGGCAGCCCTTGATGCTTCAAGGGATGACATTTGACCAAGGGCTAGCACAATAACAGCGAGGACCCCAGAGCTGGTTGCCTCCCAAGCTAAAGCACAGCCCAGGAACACTCTCCCCAATTATTCCCAACTGAGCATAGAAACTACCACGTGACGCTTTTCTAAAAAGTATTTTGAGGTTGAAAGAGTAATATGTACTTTATTTAGAAAACTTAGAAACTATAGTGAGAAGGGAAAAAAAAGTCATTGGTAATCCCACCCTTCAAAGATGAATATTGTTAATGTTTTAGCATGACTTCCTTTCCATTCCATGGTACCCTTTTTAAAAATGTAGAAGTCTTTCAAAAACTGGTTGAGCCCAGTTCCTGTAGCTGCCCTTCACATTATCCAGTTAGTGCTTTCCTCTGAGGGCTGGAAATTGTTAGTTTTTCCACACAGAGAGTCCAGCTGGTAGAGCTGTGCCCCCTTCTAACTCCTCCTCACTGAAGAAGTTGCACAGAATTTCTGAGCTGTGTCAGCCAGTCCCAGAGGGAGTTGGCCTTGGGAGACAGAGGTGAAGGAGGATGAAGTCCCCATAGAAACGTAGCCAGATATCCCTAGAGGGTGGCACCAGGTCCTTTATAAGCTGCCCCACAGGGAAAAAGGAACACATGTCAAAAGAACTCTCGTCTACCCCTGTCTTGGATTTTTTTCTCTTGTTAAACCTCTGCTTCTCCTATTTCCATCCTGCCTTCCTATTGCCAGCATCTGGGTGTGCTCTTTTCTGTTCAGGCAGGGGCAGACTCTAGAGTGCTCCTCTGGTGAGGGACAGTAACTGGAGGGGTTGGCAGAAGCAGGAGGCTATTTTTACTTCTCTGCTTATTTTCCCATCATGCCTGGCCCCCCAAAGGCGCCTAGTAAATATCTGTTGATGGACTTATAAAGTGGAATTTGAGAGTAGTGTCTGTGAAGAGAGAACACTGTGGCCAGAGCCTGCTGGCGAAAGGTTGGGACAGACCTGCGATGACAGAAAGGCTTCCAGCTTCAGTGCTGAGTCCCACAGCAGCCTCAGGAGCAGAGAAGGAGCTGTGATGACTCTACCAGCTGCCAGCCTGCCCAGCATTCCTGCGCCAGCCATTCAGCCTCTCCATGAGCCACACGGCAGGCACACAGCACACAGACCAGGCTTTTTCCTCTCTTGCTTTCCATGGAAACTCAAAATAGCAACCAAAAAAGGGGGGACAGCCTCCCTCCCTGCAAAAATATGCCAAGGCAGTGGCCACCATGTGGGACCTGGGGTGACAGGGTCAGAGAAGCCACTGTAACAGCATTCAAATTGGAGGCTATGTACCGTGAGGTGTGGGTGGGTTTGGAAGTTGGCATTTCTTTTGTAAATCTAGAAAAGTGGCTTCCTGGAGATCTTGGAGTTCATCTTGCCCTTAGTAACCTGGTGCCTGAATGCCAGTTGCCCAGAAAGGAACAACAGGCAGGGGGCAGATGCCTGCCAAGGGAACACTGTTGGAACAGTGTTTTTGAGATGCCCCAGAACCAGGTCGTGTTTGCCCTAGAGCCGCAGGGCAGCTGGCAGCATGAACAACCCAAAGTCCAATGTGGATATCACACAGGGCCCTGTGGAGCCTTGAGCACACTCACCCACCCCTCTGACCCTCCGCTTCCTACCCTGTAAGTCGAGATGGGCTAGGTTAGTGGTGGCAAACCTATGGCACATGTGTCACAGTGGGCTGTTTGTTATCATTGAAAGCCCTAAAAGGTTCGCCATCCCTGGACTGGGTGATTTCCACAGGATCAGCCCCTTCCAGCGTGAGCTTGCTGTGCCCACACCCATGTCCTTCCCCTGGTAAATGTGGTATGGTTTACCTTGCAGCTGGCCGGGTCAGCCGTCATTGCATTTGGACTATGGTTTCGGTTCGGAGGAAGCATGAAGGATTTATCATCAGAGGACAAGTCCCCGGAGTACTTGTACGTGGGTGAGTGACTTCAGCTTCCCTCGGCTTTGGCTCAGGTCAGGCTTCCCCCAGGCTCAGAGCAAAAACAGAGCTTGACCTTTGATGGGTGGAGAAGGAGTGAGGGGTAGAGAAAGAGGCCGCAGGAACAGCACCTGAGCCCTGAACACTGCCTGGCCCTCTGGGGTGTGCCCAGCCAAGGCGGGCGACAGGCTCTTACTTGCCCCTCCCTCACCTTGCTTGTTCCTCCGTTCTCCGAGATCAAGAAAGGCCAGCACAGGCAAGACTGGCCTGTTGTGCTATGGAGAAGAAGTCCTGAGGAAATATAACTAAAGTTCATTTCAAAGAATGAGGAAACTCACCTGGCATTGTGGTGCATGCCAGTAACCCCCAAAACTTAAGAGGCAGAGGCAGGAGAATCCAGCCTGAACTACATAGTGAGACCCTGTCTCAAAAAAAAGAGAGAAAACTCCTTTACACTCTGAGTCGAGTGAGTACACATAAATCTGCCATTCACTAGTCTATGCAGAGTTCACAGAGCACTGCTAGGTCAGGATTTTGTTCCGTGAAGAGGAAGTGTAATTCAAAATGAAGAGAGATGACTCAAGGTTTGGAGACGCTAATCTCCATCCGTCTAGCGATTGCAGAGAGCAGGGGAGGAGAGAAGAGAACTAACGGAAGGGGCAGGAAGGCTGCCCCTGGAGAAGAGGCTGGGGGGAGGGCTGGCATTGTCATCCTGGGTTTACTTCCCTCTGACTACTTCTGGACCCCTCCTGTGGCCTTTGCTGGTTCTCTGGCTAAGTGGACCTGGACTCTAGATTTCACAAAGCCCAAGACCATTAAGTATGATATGCCATAAAATATGAATCCTAATTCCCAAATTGTTAAAATAGCTTTTAAAAGAAAAGTGAAAATTGATGAAAGTCTGCAGATGGAGAATTTCCAGACTTAGCTCAGGATTCAGCAAAGCCACCAAGGACCCAGATTCCTCACTGTCTCTTCTCTGCCTTCTTAGCAGGACCTCAGATATCTCCCACCTCATTGAAAGGTGGCCTGTGAGTCCTTACACAGGGCACATCCTCATGCAGCAACAGAAAGGAGGAAAAAGAAATGTCATTTCATACAGCCCTTTGTAGAGGTGAATAGAACCTTTCTCCAGAACTTCCTAAAAAACACATTTCCCCTTGCAGCTTATTGGCCAGAATTGTATTTTATATGCATGGCCAGACCAAGCATGCCCGAGAAAATTATTATAACTAATATTCATGCCTGAGGCCAGACTGAGGCCCACTCCCTAGAGGGCTTCCAACCCTTGGACAAGATTTGGATTTTGTGACAGAAAAAAAGCAGAGCAATCTGCCATAAAATGAATACTCTTTTCTGAAAATACTCTTTTCTACTCACAGTTTCCAGGTAGAAACTCCTTCCATCAAAGCTAACACACTCCCTTCCCTGTGGATTTCTAGTTCTGAAAGCTTCTCTTGTCCCAGATCAGGACCCAAGTGTTCCAAGGACAAGCTTAGCCTGTCTTTGTCCAGGAATTGCTAAGCCTGTCCCAGGGAGGGGGGCCCAGGAAAAGCAGAAGGAGGATGGAGAAGAAATGCATCTTCAAGTTCCACTTAATCCCATGTAAATGGTATTCTTTCCTCTCTAGACCTACACAAAAGCAATGTTCAATAATCAACAACAGACAGCAACCTCAGCATATGGTCAGCACTGTGAGAGGAACAGATATAAACACTGAGTTAAAAACAGGTAGCACCGAGGCTGCAGGATAGGCTTTAGGGTAGAGGGCATGGGAATGTGGCTTTGGAGGACAATAGATTTTTAGATAGGTGGAGTCAGGCAGGGCTCTACTCTTGACTCTGAATTAGGGTTGACAAGTGTAGGGCAGGTAGTTACCACGTTTTGCTCCATCTGTGGAGAATATATTTAACTGTTCAGGTCATTCTTTGGGGGAGTCTTCTTCACCCAACTCTTCCCAGCCGTTTTCAAAGGGATATTCAGGGTGGACTTTATTTTCTCTCCTTACTCTGAGGTCAGTAGTTACATGAGGTCGGTCCCAGTAAAATAGTGAAAGTCTATTGCTTCTGAAATCACAATGTGCTTGTGTGTGACTAGGTTTCAACCAAGTAGAATTGGCAGTGGGTCCTTCTTGAGTAGTAAAGCAAGGCGAATTTGAGTTAGGTTTTAAAGCCCAGACTGGAGGAGAGGAGTGAAGACTGCAAAGGCTGAGGGACAGGAGAGCACAAGGCATGTGTACCGGACAGTGATGAGCAGCTCCAGACTGGGCAGAGGCTCTTACTGGAGTGAGGAGTAGGGTATGGTGGGAAGTAAGATTACTTACTGCAAGGCAGGACGAGCCTGAGGGTCCTTGGAGGTCAGGGTTAGTTTGGTAAGTGCTAGTAAAATATGTTGGGGCTTAGAGCAGGGTAGCTGCATGGCAGTCCACAGAGATTATTCTGGCAGTAGTAAAATGAGAAGGGAACACAGGACTAAAGAAACGTGGTAAATTATTGGTAAAGTCAAGCCCAAGGAAATGAGAGTATAATTTATGATAATTTTACTAGAGATTATAAGCAAAGAGACAGAAAACTGGAAAAATGTTATTCAACATCATTAAACCTATTCAAGCTCAGAGACAGAAGGAATCCAAAAGGCAAAAGAGACCAGTGACAGACAGAACTAGGCTGTGTAGTGACACCTCGTGTGTTTCGGGTAGAAGCTGAGTTACAATAGAAGGGTCCTCCTGCCTCTCAGAGCAAGGGCTGGTTGTGTGGACCTAGGGATGGCAGCCAGCTGTGGGTCTTCCCAGACAGCTTCTGTCTGTATTGCTCCAGAAACAAAGCACTGTCAGCCATTTCACAGTTACAGATCTGGGTTCAGTGTAAGAAAATCGTTTCAATAATTTGATAACTCAAAAAAGTTGAACAGCCTCTTTCATAGATGAAAATTAACTCTCTCTTATGTCAGGATTTAACTGGTAATGTGACAAAAATCAGAATTGGATGCGTGCTACTTCACGAGTTTCCTATGTTGAGGAGGAAAGTGAACTAACTCTATGTAAACATTCTTAATTCTGCTTTCTAATCCAAACCAAAGCTGTATGTACCCTTCTGCTCTCCACAGCACAAAATGGCTGCCAGTGGCTGTGGGCTCCTAACCCTAGAAGACCATGCTTCTTCCATTCCAACAGATCCACCTAAGGTCCACAGCCTCTCATTGGCAATATCATGTCTAGTGCCCAACCCCAAACCAGTCACTGGAGCTAGCTTCTGGTTGGCTCAAGCCTGGCTTCGTGAGTACCTTGGAGCTTGAGGTGAATCAGCTTCAGACTGAGAACAGACGAGGCTCATTTACCGTTTATAGAGAAAAAGAGTGGATTATGGGCAGAGAAAACCACGGTCCCTGAATGGTCCTTTTCTTTGGTGGCATGGATGTGGGTTTACCCACCTTTAGCTTGTCCTCAGCCATATCTCTTTTCTCCAGAGTGACAGATGGGGGGTGCATGTGGTCAATGCTAAAAGGATAGGGAAGTGTGTTATCATACAAACTTAGCACTAGGCAGAATAGGAAAACTAAGGATCTGAAGGCCAAGCAACAAAGACTGGTAGTCACCGTGGTTTCCCAGCTCTTTCTTGACGTGAGGGTGGGGAGGGGTCAGCCCAGAACCCAGTCTACTGACATGCAGACCTGTGGTTTCACATTCCCCACTGCTGCCTCTTGATCATGTCAATAAAGCCTCCTTGTGACGTCAGGGACTTTTTCTTCACTTAAAATATTTCTTAAAGAAGAGTGACATTCATATTTGTAGAAATCAATTTTTTTCTTTGAAAGTTAGTTTTCCAGATAAGAAAGACATCTGCACTCTAGCAATAAAACAAGAAGAAAACTACATTTCTGTTACCATACGTCATACAGTTGAAGGTAGTAGGACTTAAAAATATAAGTAGACACAGTTTTGGGGAAATCTCATAGGGCTCCATTTATTGATCTGTGTGTTTTCTTTTCAGAATAGGTTCCAGAGCAATCAGCTCATTAAACTCACATCACCACTTTGTTAAAGAGTCTCCTAAACAGGCTCGGCACGTTCAAGTGGTACTTAAAGAACTAAGTCCTCAGGAGGAGGGAAGCAGGAGTGAAGGGAGGGCAGGGACAAGGGGAAAAAATGAGAACCAAGACCTGTCAGGTAGAGGTACAAGATCCCAATAATGAATGTAACTGTACTGTATCCCTAAAATGTACCAATAAACTCAATGAGGAAAAAAATATAAAAGTAATATATGAACTTCACAAAGAATTTTAAATAAACATATTCATCATATTAAAAAAAAAAAGAACTAAGTCCTCAGCTGGGCACTGTAACACATATCTGTAGTCTCAGCTACTTGAGAGACTGAGGCAGGAAGACCATTAGTTCAACATCAGCCTAGGCAACTTAGCTAGACCCATTTCAAAAGAAAAGGAAGGGAAAGAGAAAGGGGGAAAGGGAAAGAGAAAGTAAAGGAGGCCTCCCTGCCCAGAGTTCTATTTCTGAGAGGTACTCCGGGAAGACGCGTCATCCTGCTCCCTACTTCTGAGTAGATGACTACCAAGTTTTGTTGGAGTAATTGTTCCATCTTTGATGAGAACCAACCTGTCAGGTAGAGGTACAAGATCCCAATAATGAATGTAACTGTACTGTATCCCTAAAATGTACCAATAAACTCAATGAGGAAAAAAATATAAAAGTAATATATGAACTTCACAAAGAATTTTAAATAAACATATTCATCATATTAAAAAAAAAAAGAACTAAGTCCTCAGCTGGGCACTGTAACACATATCTGTAGTCTCAGCTACTTGAGAGACTGAGGCAGGAAGACCATTAGTTCAACATCAGCCTAGGCAACTTAGCTAGACCCATTTCAAAAGAAAAGGAAGGGAAAGAGAAAGGGGGAAAGGGAAAGAGAAAGTAAAGGAGGCCTCCCTGCCCAGAGTTCTATTTCTGAGAGGTACTCCGGGAAGACGCGTCATCCTGCTCC